AACTCAAATAGCATATTTAAGGCCCTCATATATTTTCTGAAACAAGGAAACCAACTGAAAACTGCAGATTCCCTTCATTTCATTTATTTTCTAAATATATGCTGCAATTAACTTAATTCATCACTTTAGGTGAATGACCTATGTCCCCCAAGGACAAACCATATCATACAGACCATACAGCTCATAAACATGCTCTGTGAATGCCTGATAGACACAGAGCATATTTTCTGAATAGTCAAAAAAGGTATAGATGCCACTTAAATGTACATATTATATTTAAAGGTATCTTGATGGTCAAATAGCAAAACAATGCAAAAGTTTGTGCATTCTTCCCCAACTCCTTGATTTATAAAATAAAAAGCAAAGGGGTAAAAATTTTATTACCCTGAAAGGACTACATAATTTATCATTTCTAAGAAACAATTACAGTGGGTAGAAAAAAAAACCCAACTCATTCCAAGGAGTTGACAAAAGTAGACGTTAAAATTGATAAAGATACCTGTATGTATTTTCAAACTTCAAGTGAGCAGAACTTTATCTGTTTGTTCTTTTCTCTTCCTTTAAGGGGATAAACAGTCAAACTGATTTGATTTTTCCAGATTTGCAAATTTTATAATGAATTGAAATCCTGCGGGAGCTAACAACAGATGGATGATTGTATTATTCTAATTTCAGCTACCTTAGGGTTTAGCAAGCTGTCATTTTTAAAAAGACAATCAATTTCTCATTTCAAGAAACATGAAAAAACATTGAATATATCTATCCAGCATTTGCTTTGAAACATCTTTTATAGCAAAACATGGTTTTGTTTATTTAAAGTAAATAGAGTGAAATTTTATTATAGCAAGTCATTGTTCCACCGGCCAAGAAATAAATGATAAAAAATGAAGATATTTAAAGAGATGGAAATAAAACAAAACTAGCAAAAGCTTACCATATCATAACAATAAATATTAAACAATCAATCAATAGGAAGTCACTTTATTTTCAGCTGTACTCTAAAATTCCAGCAAAGATAGTTGTTTGTTTAGAACCTTTAAAGAATTTAAATTCACATTCAGCATTTATCTGCCTCAATAAAATATTCAGCCAAGCCAACATCTGAGATCTCATTCAGCATAATTTAGAAATACAAGGGGGCATTAAATGCATGCATTCTAAGCAATCAGTCTTGAGTATTTAAATAATCTATATGACATAATGCTAATTGTAGTTTATATGCAGAAAATATAACCCAAAAGAACAATGTGCCAAAGAGCTATAGAAATTGGGGGTTATGATAACAAAAACTGGAGAATTACACACCCTCATCATAATCATTATGATTACTTCTTACTCAGAGACTTGGTAATCAATCTTTATATATTTTACACATATACTGTTTTCACAAATTCTTTTCTTGAAAATTATTTTTATAATTTATTTTCCAACCACTGTATGTCAGTTACCTTATTTGAAATGCAATGACTATGCCTGCTACAACAATAGGTCTAGGGGTGGGTGGTAACTCACAGCAAGTGCCTCATATGAACAAATAAAAGTGCCCAGAGGTATCAATTCCCTCATCTACCTTTATGTCTGTTTAATACTACCATGTGTTTTCCTCTCATTTGTTTTCACTTTCTTAATTCTCATTTTTCCCTCTCCCAATTCTGCATTTGCAAACCGTAAATTATTAGATATATGATCATATGTATAGTTGTAAACATTTCAATATTTAGAATTGTTATAATTATTCTATTATAACAATGTAACATTATATACAAATGTATCTGTATATGATGTAACATATTAGGCCAAACAAATATATTTGTGACTATAGATGCTTATATAAGGGTATACATACTAATTTCAATAAATGACACATGAAGTACTATATTAGAGAAAAAAGAACTTATCAAAATTATTAAAACTAGCCATATACAACATAATAAATACCAAATGGTAGTTTAAAGTGAATGTTCAGGAGCACAACAGACTCTTGCTTAGGATAAGAAGGTCACACTCTAGCTTCTAACTTCACAGCTAAGATAGACTTATCATATGACTGTTATGGAGAGAAAAAGTCCATCCCATAGAAACAACAGGAGCAAGGGGTCAGAGAGGTGAGAGTCCAGATGCATTCTGTGCAGCAAGGCTAGGAAAACATCTGGGTTAGACTGGAAGCATATTTTCCAAGATTTTTCTTTTGGGGATATATGACATATATTATCGTAGTTGAATAAAGAGTGGAAAGGTTTCTTTAACAAACATAAATCATTATCACCCTTTCAAAAAACAGCAGTAATCTCTTTTGATCATCTATTATCATGACCCTATGCTCTTCATGACACTGCTTTTTCTTCACTGTCTTTTCATTTACTGACTCCCAAGGACTAGATATTCACCACTGGCAAATTTCAGTTCTGAACACTACTTCATCCTTCACACCATTACCAAAGCAGCTTTTTAGGGTACACAGAAATGAAGTAAAGGCTTCTGTTCAGAAATTTCAAATGGCTTACTCTATTTCCTAGAATATTAACATAAACTCATTGATACTATATCTATAGCCCCTTTTTCATTTTTAGCCAATCTTTTACTTGGCAAATATTCATTAACACTGTTACTCTAGTACCAAAGGACAGGACGGATATAGAACTAAGACCAATAGGACTTTAGTATCATGTGAAGAATCAGACATTAAATTAAAATATAAGATATGATCATGAGATGGATTATTAGCTGAAACCGATGACTTAGGAATTTCTATTTTCATCCATACAGTCCCCATGCATCACAGATTGAAATATTATGTGCAAAGATAGTTGACTTAAGTATGTAACAAATATCTAACATATAAATTAAAATCAAGTTCCTAATCATTCTCAAACCTATCTCCACGCCATAATCATCGATGTTATACATAATCCAAACCTTTCAGTGTATCAGATCAGGAACAAAATTCCTCACTTCCACCTTCCATATTCAAGTTATTATCCAGTTCTGTTGACCTACCTTCAAAATATACCAGAAACAAAGAATTTCTAATCATTTCTACCAATATCCTTCTTCAAGTCATTCTTCAACTGGATCTTATTCATTAGTTTCCTAATTTCTTACTTTGCTGTAGGCTTTTGTCCTCTCATTCCCTTCCCCCAATAGCAGTCACAGTGATCTTCTAAAAATGTAAATCTGAGCATGTTACAACTATATTCAAGATTCTGAAACAACTTTCAAAACCTTGTATCATCTTCTCTTGCTTCACTACCCACACAACTCTCCCATTATGCCCATTCAATCTGAGTGGCCACTTGCTAAAATTATTTTCTTCTGAATAAAAGCTGTAAATCTTGCTTCTGCTGACTTAAGCCCCCTTTATGACTAATTCTCACCAATTCCCTGATGGGTAATTTTCACCCATTCCCATTTATCACATACTATTTGACATACTGATATACTTTTATTTATTTATTGTTTTTCTTCCTATCAAAAGGTAAACTATGAAGGTAATGTTTCCCCTCATTTTTATCCACTGCTGTGTCTCAGTACTTAGACAAGTACTATTATAGAGATCTATCTGTTGAATAAATGAATGTGGAGAGAGAGAAGAAAGTCAGTAGAGCTATTAACTGTTTAGTCTTCCTGAGAAATAAATATGAGGCATGGCGAATAAGGGGTGTACTAAAGGAATAAAGGACAGAATAATCATGATAAGAATTGAAACTTTATGCAATGGTCAAGGGTCAGTTTCTAAGCAGTAGAGAAGTGAGTAGGTCACACTGAGCTCAAAGGTAGCTCTGAAAACAACAAAGAATACTTTTTAAAATTAAATTTTAATTGAGTTAACTGGTTGATAATGCTGCCTGCATTTTGGTAGTAAAGGTTCACACTTTTTCTGATGTATGATACATACCACAGCCCCAATCAAAGTACTAGTGTTCTTCCATAGACTCCTCTATCCTTCTACTGTCCCCTTTCACACTAGTAACCTTAGTTTTGTTGTCAGAATCCAAGGGTTTGTTTTCACTTTGCTTTGTTTACTTTGCTTCTTTATAAAGAGTCCATTTGAAAAGAAGCCAAACTCCAATAAGAGATACCAAGTAAAGGGGCTATAATTACATATAGGTAAGAAATAATGGTTTAAACTAAGAGTAGAGATCAACATTAAGTTGAGAACTATTAAGAATATCTAGTTAATGTGATTTGTTTTTTATTTTTGTGTAGAACTCAGGTGTAGGCCAAAGCTATGGGGGGTGGGGGGTGAGAGGATTCAACAGAGACAAAGTAGAAAGCAAAACAAGCAGGTTACTGAAACACACTGCTAAGGGGAGCAGCAGATTAACCAGAAAAGGTCTGCCATGACTTGCGTTGGTTAGCTCCCTGGCCAGAGATTGAAGTCAGGAAATATCAGTGATAGTGCCAAGACTGAACCCCTTGGCCACCAGGGAGGCTCTGATAATTAATGGATATGGACTTAGAAGTTGTGATTACTCAGTTTCTGGCTAGATATGCCATTGCCCACTGTACTATCTACCCCAACAGACAATATAGAAGGAAAGATGATATAAGTAAGTATGTTGAGATTAAGAACTGTTAGACATTTCAGGTTTAGGGTTTTTATAATATATTCAGGTGATGTTCATTTATTAGACAGCTGAAAACATGAAACGGAAGTGTATAGTAGATCTCTGAGTAGAAGAGTAAAGCTAGAGATCATCAATGTATAAGGTAGGCAAAATGTAAACAGATGAAATAACTGGAGGATAGTGGATCAATGTAGAAGACAATAAAACATGCCTAAGACCACTTTCAATGGGTAAATAGAATCAAGCTCAAAAGGAGTCATAGTTACAAGGAAAGGCAGACATTTGCAGACAAGAGATAAAAGGTTTCTAGGAGGCAGTGGCATTTTAGGTTGGAAAACATGTTTGTGTTGATAATCAAACTAAACATCTCTATCAGATATTATCTATTTACACATTAAATAAATTTCAAAATTCAAAATGTTTAAAATGTACCTGTGTATTCCACCAAAGGAAAGTAGCATTCAGATGGGCTTTCAGAGAGATGAAACACAAATTTTTCAAGTAATTCTACTAAAACTGCAATAAACAAGAGAATACTTAGAATATTAAAGGTCATGATCATACATGATCATACATCTCTATATCACAAGCTGGTTAGCAGGTAAAATACATGTGAACTTCAGTTACACCCTTAAGGGGGTCCAATTCAAAGCACATACCTTTTTAATATTCATAACAACATTTCCATTGTAAATTAAATTTTAATAGCTTCACTGAGAACCTATTCAATGTAAAACTGGAAAAGAATCATCTGTTATCTTTAGATCCTCTAAGGATTACTTCAGAATTTGCTAAATGATTTCAATACAGAAAGAAAATTATCACTAATTAGGCTGCATCATCTTATCATCATTATTCACAATAAGGAAAAAAATTATGTGAACTCCAAGACTAGGATCAATACACAACTCACTCCCCTTTTAAAACCAGATTTCATTATGTGTCATATACTTTGCAACTTATGTTATCTGTTCAGGCAACCTGACCAAAGGTAAGCTAGTCAGGGGGCCTCCCTGATGGACAAGGGGTTAAGTCTCAGAACTAACAAGCTAAAACCAGCCACTACAACATGAATTCAATTCCCAGCAGGAAGCTAATGCACATGAAGTAGCAGACCTCTCCTGTCTTGCCCACTGTACCATCAGCAGTGTATTTCAGTAGATTCACACTTCTAGCCTACATCCATGTATACACACACAGACATATACATACATACATACATACATACATACATACATACATACATACATACATACATAAATCTTAAAAAAATAAGATAGGGATTTGAAAGAGGAGAGAAGGTGAAATAATTAGGTAAAGCATAAGATTTGTTTATTTATGCATACAGATTTGGGGTACAGGTCAGAGGTGTGGGAATGGTGAGAGGATTTACAGAGACAGAGTGGGAAGCAGAGCAGGCAGACAGATGAAGTATACTGTTGAGGGGAGCAGTGGGCGAGACAGGCAGGGTCCGCTGCACCAGGGCCAGGGATCAAATTTATACTGAAGCATCTGCAGATGGCTTGCGGTGCTGCGTCCCAACCTGCTGCACCACCAGGGAGGACCCTGTGATTCTAAAACTTCTATAAAAAAATAACATTTGTTAATTTAGCAAAAGGTCAAAATATATTTCTCTCTACCAGAGGAAAAATAAATAATATTGAAGATAAAAGTAAAACTTGCCTGCCTCACAAGTAAAAAGTGATTAATTTCCTCACCTTGATTGATAATACTATACATAAAATTATTCCCTAAAAAATATAATTTCTGCAAAAACAAAAGACAGATTTATACTTAATTATAATTATTAATTTTATAACAAATGATACAAATATGAAAATCATGACAAATATGAAAAACATGGATGGTCAAATAGTGGATAGTAACTTTTAAATTGTAATTTTCAAGAAATCTATCCTTATGACATTATAATTTTTCTTAGACCTTTATTAAAAATAATGCTAATTAAAAATTACTTTAGAACATGAATGTACATATAAATTTCTAAATATAAAAAACATGTTTGCTAGTTTGGCAAATCCAGCTCTACCTCAAAACATTTCTTTAGGGGTCAATACATCTATTTGACTGGATATAACAGTTTCAAAATACCTGTCAAAAAACTCAGTAAAACTGCTAGCCCAGCAGTATGGTATATTTGGGTGAAAGCTGGTGAAACCACACATATTGCTACTGAGGCAAAAATAGATTTTTTTTCAGTTATGCTTCCTGGACCTCTTATTAAAAAAAAAAAAACTTAGCAATCCCTAATTGTATTTTTTTTCATCATATCACAAAGTTTCTCAGAAGTTAGTGGTCTTCTGGAATCAGTATTATATATTTCTAGACATGCCACTACTCATATTCAAGCCACACAGTCTCTATTTAAACTGTCATACCAAATTCTCACAAATATTAAATAAGGCACTCACCACTTCCACTGATTACGTCAGGTTTGGCCTTCATCATTTTGCAAAATTGTCTTCGACAGTTTTCTATCCACTCAGTTTGCTTGTCAGAGACTTTGAAGTGCAGTAAAAGTTTGCCAAGATCACTGTCTAATAAGGAATATAGCTTATTATTATAACAATCTCGATGTACTGAAAAGTATTAATATTCTTTAAAATGCAAATTCCAGCAAGTGTATACAATATATATGCCTTTCAAAGGAAAACAGACATTTTTCATTAACTATATCTTTATCATCGATTGCTAATTATCACATTTATTAAAAGCTCATGAAATGAATTATTGATTTATAACCACAACTCTTGAATTTTCTTACAGAAACATGAGTCATTACTGAATACTTGGTTTAACAGACAGTGTGGTTCTTAAGGTTTCATTACAGATACTGACATGAACATTATATTAATTCTTTATGTACATTTAAGTATAATTTTATTCATTTCTTAAAAAGCAAAAAAAAATGTGTTAGGTGTAGACAACCTCTAATCAATTATTTCTCTTCTTGAAGGCTACTGAAGATAATGACTGAGGATGAAACAGTATGGATAAAATATAACTTTTTTTCTTTGTAAGCAATTTCATGAATACATCACCATTTCCAAATACTTTTATTTTCCCATTAATTATTCCCATGAAATTTTTCCATCTTCCACTTAAACTTTAATCCCATATTATTTTGTATTAAAAAAAAACTTTACTGTATTAAACGAAAATCTAGCTGTCATTATAAAAGCAGGAAGATGTGTGTGTGTGTGCACACACACATGCGTATGTACTATTATCCTACATCTCCAAAGGCAAAAACTGAAGCAGAAGAAAAAGCATCACCTATGTTATCATTTTCTAGAAAAGCGTGGGGGAAACTAGAGTTGCACCAATTCATTCTTTTTATCACTTTCCTTGAAGGAGATTCAGGAGATCAAAGGTAACCAGCACCTTCTGAAAACATAGGATCAAAGACCACATTGCATCTGCCCAAATTTGTGGCCTGGGAACACTAACACTGCAAGATGCATCTGTCTAAAGTCTAACATCTACTCTGCTCCTATAAATTCCATCAGGAAGATACTAATGGTCAACCTGATAACAGAGAGGGTTTCAATCAACACTTCACCTTTTCTTAAAGAGAATAAAATTATAATAAAGCAACCACTTTTTCTCACTGGTTTCAAAAATTAAACTTTAACCATATCAAACTACTTTTGACTTGACTTTCCCATCTTATCTTTGTCAAAATGCATTCAATTAATATGTATGGAATTCCTCCTATGTGGCCATAATAACCAAGATTAATAAGGTCGCATCACTTCATCAAATCAGAAAGAATATGCATGCATATGCACATATGTATGTATAATGTATATGCATATTTATATATAGATTATAATAGTATAATCAAGTACAATATGTACATACTTTTATTATGATATAATTTTCATTTAGACCTAAAATATCAGCTATGTATCCTCATGGCTATCAAATAGAAAGTTATATAATTTATATAAAAATCACAATTTACATAAATATTTCCTGACTTGAGTTTTACAAAAAGTCTTAAGTCTTTTCATATCAAAGCTGTATACATACTCTCTCAAACACGTGAATAGACAAATACCTATGCTTTACATATTCATGCTCAAGTGTACACATAATCATTTTGCTGAAATACTGTATAATCCTGGTATTTAGTACTAATCTAATATAGTTGTTTGAATTATCACATGATAATGTGCCTTAACATTTAATAATATTCTTAACCAATCAAAAACTGGAGAAAAAGTGATTAATTCAAAGGGGAAAGTGATTCTTTTAAATAAAAATTCTCAAAACCTTTCACGTAAACCAAGAAATAAGCCAAGCTGATAATTTTGCTAAAAATTATGCTATTAAGAAATTTGAGTGTTAAATCTTACTGTAGACTCAAAAAAAGACCAAACTCAACAGCATTATAATTAAATTTTATGGCTTTCAGTCAGAATATTTACATTGTTTCCCAAGAACAAACTACCTAGAGCCCAGTAAGAATGACTTTGCCTTGCATAACTGCAAAGGCAAAGGCAATTCTTTTTCCTTTATTTCTCTATGACATCTCCTCTGCCCAAGTCTAAAACTATCTTTTCTAATTACTGCCTTCTTCAAATGGGAGATGTCCATGTAGGATTTTCACAAATCCCTGTTTAACATTTCTAATTTAAACTTTCCCTCCTTTCTGCTGTGTATTCACTTCTACTTGCTCTCTCACCTCCCTCTTTCCTATCATATTTGCTATTCTGTTTCAATTTCTCATCAATTCATTTTAAGGAAAAGAGTACAGGGCAGTATAATTGTATACAGAGTAATTAAACAGCAAATGTAGGATGCACTGAATCTACCTGTGGGAGTTGAAAGGCCCCATTTCACATACCTAGAGTTGGACTTGAGGTAATAGAGAAATGTTGAGTATGTTGAGTATTACTATTGAACTGAAAGACTTAGCACCCTTTATATATATATTGGTTACTGTTTCACCTAGCCATTAATGCGAGTGTGAGCTTTATAACTTGCATTCCTCAGTTAAAAATGGTGACTGGATATGTTAACTGAAAACATGTATATCTATGAAAATTATCGAGTTAGAGGAGAATATTAATTCCTTTATTTATCCCTCCAAATTTGGGGCCATGTGACAAATAAGAGTAGATAAATGGAGTTCAAAATAGTAGTGTTAGTACTGCCACAGCAAAATTGAACCATTGGTTGGACCCATTGCCAGATGGTCTTCCACAGCTCTATCCTGAACTGAACAAATTTATTCAATCACAGTGAAAAGACACCAAAAGCCTCTCCTCGCTGTACATGGCAGAAAAGCTGCAAATATAATCAAACAGTAGGCTTGAAAGTATATCCTACAAGGCTAATCTCAGATTTCACACCCCCAAATTCATCTACTAACATTCTTCCAACTTTGTACAGATATATGAGGAAGTCCAGAAAGAGGTCAAAGGTGTTATTCTCTTGTATGTATGGAGAGTAAGAGAAGGAGAGGGAATCATAGGAAAGGTACCACAGAAATAACAACTCTGAGCCAGTGGTTCTCAGAGAACAAATGCATATGACACAGAGAATTCTGTTTCCCCAAATTTCTGTTTATAATGGGGGGGCGGGGTTTCTGGTCATAATAAAGGAAATGGAAATAATCTTGTTCTCCTGTAAATAAAACTAGGTAAAATATATCAAACAACCATTTCCAGATACGGCCAATACAAAATGCAGAACTGTCAGAGAAGAGGGTAACAAAAGTGGTGAGCTTCACAATGTCCTTTATTTTATTTTTTTCTCTTGAAGGCACTTTCAAGAGCTCTGTGCAGGAAGGGTGTCTCAGAGGTATTGCTGAGTTGAAAAGAAAAAGTCAAACTACAAAGAGAATGACGAGGTTAAAATTGGTAGATCAGAGTACTGGAAGGGAGAGCTGAGAAAGAACTCCAAAAAGCTATATAATAATGTGTCACGTTGACTCTAAGTAATTAGCTGTGCAAATGAAGAGTGAAACTCCACAATACAGGCAGGGCAAAGAACATCTGGGAGTTACAAAATGAATAATTCCCAGAATATACAGAGGACAAGGTGAGGGTCAAGTTTCAAAAAGAGTGAAGTTTACCCCTTAAACAGTAGGAAGCTAGAAAGGTCACACCTTACTAGTGACTTAGTAAGAATCATAGAATTGGATGAATCATAAAGAAAAGGCAACTCTTCATCTACCCTAAAATGAAAGCTTTGAAAGACCAAACTTATCTATTTTAACTTCTTGACTACATGCCAAAAAAGGTTCATTGTTAAAAAAAAAAAAAACACACAACAACAACTCTGCACTCAATGCAAAATCAATAATATACAACATTCAATTTTTGAAATAACTAGTATGACAAAATGGTAAGATGGTAAAATCAGTAGCTAATTTACTAATAGAAAATCTCAGAAAGGACTGAGATGATACCACTAGCAAAGACTTTCCTGTAACTAAAAAATTCAAAGATAATATAAACAAAATGGGGACACTTAACCAAGTTGTAGTTTATCAATACCAGAGTCTTACTGAGTAAAATTAGACAAGTACAAAGTACACATAACTGAATGGAACTCAAAGTTATACTGAGAGAAAGAAAGTAGGCACAAATAATGTATCCTATGGATTCTATTTGTATGAAAAGCAAGAACAGGAAAAACTGATCTTTAGCAGTAGATCTCAAAGTCTTTCTTCTCCTGGGGATATTTATACAATGGTTACATTCTAGATAAATATTGTATCAATTTATAATAGACAACATTTTTTTAAATCTTCTATTCAAGAGAAGGAAAATGTGAATGTATTATAAACGCAAAGAAAACCTATTATTTACATAAAACTTTGGTGGTGTTCTTTTGTCACTATCCTTTGCTAATTTTGAATGCTCACTTAATACAGGATATCATAACATGGTGCCAGAAAAAAAAAACATGGACGACTTCATAAACTAACATTTAGGTGCTTAGGCGCAATTTAGTCAACCTTCATTTCCTTAAATATTTGTTTTACATTTGTGTTTCCTCATAGCTTCTTATTTCTACAATTTGATTAATAAAGTAATTTTATTTGAACATACAAGAGAAGACTCTGGGCATGGTCTCTGTGAAGCTACTGTAAAGACAAGTATAGCTTTCCATCTCTAACTGTAGAATATCTAAATTCTTACACACATTTTTATTACTGGAACAACTATGGATTCTTAACACTATCATGTGTATGTTTTCTATACATCAGTCCTTATTTTTTGGAATTTTTTTCTTAATATGTAATAAACACTTACTATAGAAAAAAATCAAAGTAGTTTAGAAAAATGAGGAATTGCTTTTTCTTTGTCATTCTTCTGCACCTGAGCTAGTAGATGATTTATTTCCCCTGGTGGTCATGTTTACTTTCAAACATAAGAGTAAAAATTAGATGAAAATAAAATTTTACTATTAAAAGCCAAATAGTTGTTCTGATTTTTAAATGAAATATCCCCAACTGCAACTTGAGATTTTTATCAGAAAAAAAAAAATCTCATATACGCCATCTCCTCAGTAAAATGAC